TGGATCTCTGCAGCCATGAACCTGAGGCTTAATGTGTCATCCACCATGAACTGTGCACCATCTACTTTGCTTACATCTAGTACCAGAAACAGCAGTGGCTATGTCTCACAGTGACAAAGTGACAATTAAGTGTCCTCGGGACAGGAACGACTTCTCTAAGAAGCATCTAAACTTGCATTGCTCTCCTGGAGAACCTATAAGCTCCTGATATTCTCTGGAAAATGTATTTCCAGCTAGAGTTGTATCCTGTCATTGCAGCTGAGGTTGCTGGCTGACACCTGTGTGCAGTGCCTGGTATGATACATGTTAGGTTTCCGTCTTTGCATGTCTGCATTTTGCATCATGACCTCAAATGTCTCACATTTATGTACCAGTTGAGACTCACACTGCATCATCCTAGACTCCTGGGGGGGTCTCAAGGTGAGTTTTCTGAGTAGAGGACAGAGGTGTGTTGTGTGATTCTGAAAGCTGAGATTCTTTAAAAAAAAATTTTATTTATTTATTTATTTATTTATTTATTTATTTATTTTTAGAGAGAGGGGAAGGGAGGGAGAGAGAGGAAGAGAAACATTGACAAGAGAGAGAACTATCGATCAATTGCCTCTTGCACAAGCCCTGAGCAGGGACCAAACCCACAACCCAGGCATGTGCCCTGACTGGGAATTGAACCACCAACTTTTCACTATATAGGACAATGTCCTACCAACTGAGCCACACTGGTCAGGGCTGAGATTCTTAATAAAAAGCAAACAGTCTTAATCCTCCTTCGATGTCTCAATGGATAAAGAGGAGTTAGCAAGAATTTTGGGGTCTTCAATAGACTGTAAGTTTGGGCCATCTCCTCCTCCCGTAAGACATGCCCAGGACAATGACCCGTTGTCTCTCCAGCTGCCCAACCCACTTCATCTTGGGGTCGGGGTAGGTGAGAGGACCTTTGGCCTTTGGCACTTCATCACCAACTTACTTAATTCTTCCTTCAACTCCGGAGATAACTGTTGTAAGGTTTTTTCCCCATCTTTATTGACAAACAAATATATAGTGAAGGTGTACAAAGTGACATTTTCATATATGTATACTGTGAAAAGATTATAAAAATTAAGCTAATTAACATATCCATCACTTCACATAGCTGCCTGTGGTGAGAGCACTGAGATCTACCTTTCTAGCAAATGTCAGGCATGTCGTGTAGTACTATCCACTACAGTTGCCATGCTGTACATGAGGGCTCCAGAACATTGTCATCTTATAGTTAAAACTTTATACCCTTTTGCCAGCATCTCCCCCACATCCCCCAAAGCCTGTAAGTGAGATCATGAGGTATTTGCAGAGACAACTGTTTTTTCTAAATGACGCCACAAAGTCTTTTCATTATTCTTTCATTTTTTTATATAATTCATTTATGTCTATTATAAGCATATTCCAAACTGGAGATTCACAGATGTTAACGAACTTGCCTATTGGGTCACCCATCTTTTGAGCCTGTGGTTTTCACCACCTTGTGCTGCTGGCACTTCGATCAGAAGATGAGAATGGCAACGTGCAACTATGCGAATCAAGTTCAGGAATAAATTCCTTGTTAGGGACCAGTTCAAAGCCTTCTGTGCTTTGTGAGTGTGAACTGAGGGCCAGCTGACCACTGCTTCTCAGAGAGACGCCCACAACTGACTCCTTTATGCATCATTAAAAAATATATACAGTGACATGATGGCTCTTAGTCTGTTGGGAAACGCCCTGCCTGGTGTCAGGAGCTGTAACCCTGCCAACAGGCTGGAGGGCCCCAAGGCTGGAAATAATCAGGAGGCCTTGGAGAAACAGGCTCCTGAAGAGACATGACTTGTCCCCCCCAAGCAGGGGCACAGCTCCGGCCTCTCTGCTTTGCCTTGTGATGGTCCCTGCCAATGACAGGTAAGACCCCTTGGGGGAGGGGCGACATAAGCCAGGCATCAACCGATATAGGCAGCAGACAAGAAATTGGAGGACGCAGAGAAGGGGCAAAAAGGCCCCTGCACCTCTCGGCTTGGCTTGGACACAGCCGGAGGCCTCATTGTATCCGAGAAACAGTCTCCTTATCTCTTGGTGGTTCCCTCCCCACACCTGGCTCAGGCTTGCAGCAGTGCAGGAGTCAGCTCTAAATCAGGTCTGGCGGTTGCCAGGGAAATCAGGCCTAAAAGTAATTTCTTTAAAGTGTGCTTTGTTCTTTCCTCGCATCTCTGGCCAGCCCAGGCTGCGAAGGACCTTCACATTATTTACACCCCTTACCCTTTATCATTAAGGCGCTTGCCCTTATCTTCATTCTCTTTTGTTTATACTGATCTTCTCTTGGACCCATGTAAATCAGGGAATTCCTGTCACTTGTTTTCTTAAAAGCATCTATTCTTTGTGAAACTTAACATGCTAATGTAATGAGTGTATGTATGCATACCTGTTACCTAGCCCCACTGATAAGATTTTCAATAAAAGCCTAGGAACTGAGGGCAACGGGGCCTTCCCCACTACGGCCTTCTCCACTAAGAGGGAAGTGCCCCCATCTGCTCTCCCGGCAAACAGAGAAGTGTTTGTGACGTTTTGTGTTATCCTCTCATCTGTGACAACCCCAGGAGGACTCTGCAGGGTTCAGAGCCCTGCTCCCACCTCAGCTGGCCCCCGCCGGTGTCCCTCAGGTTCAGGGAGCGCCAGGCTCTCTGCAGCGCTCCCCCGCGACAGTGCGCCCCATGTAGCCACAGCGCAGCGCAACATTAGTCATATAAATAGTTAGTTGTTTTTGTTATTCCAAAACTAGAAAATATGTTAACACTGCATTCGTAAAATACCTTCCATAGTTATGTCATAGTCCAGGCTTACTTTCACATTTTACTTTATACAATTTTAACTTGCCATACATAACATTTATCCAGTGCATATAACTTCTAGACTTTTAAAAACACAAAACACCAAAACAGTACCTGAGATTCTACATGAGATACTCAAGTCACAGTCTTAGGAATTGTTTTAAGGAGAACGGAGTGCCAGAAAGCAAGTGGACGCCTCTCCTGCTGCATCCTTTGTACCCAGGGGTGTGAAAACATGGGCTGAGCACGCTTCCAGCAAAAGCTACGGGCACAGAAAACTGTCAAGCCAAAGAAAGACTATTTTTCCCAAATATTTGATATACACCCAGCTTTGTCTGCCAGATATATAAGAGACACAGATATGGCATTAAACAGCTCCATACCTGCCATGACACAGGGAAAGTGACAAGAAAGACCCACTGAAAGCAGAATCACTCTGGATTCAGAGACTTTTTTTTGTCATGAAAGTGTGTATATACATCATAGGCACACACACGTGTGTGTATATGTTTTCAAGTATTCAGCCTAAAATTTCAGAGCTGTATTTGAAAGTGTGCCTCACAAGTAAGGTCAAGAACCACTACAAAAGGAAAATACTGAGCCTTCGGGAATTAGAAAAGGGAAATTAGGTCCTGAATTATATCTAGTCTCTGGGTAAAGTATAACAGTGTGTGTGCATTAGGATAATACAAGGATTTTCTAGAGCAAACAAGAATGCAGTGTGGAGACAAGGGGTAGGAGGTTTATGAGTAAACTCTGAGCTATATGAGCAATCAGTAATTCAATAAAGGTGTCACTTATAGAAAGAGGGATATAGAGGACCTATTTATACATGCAAGCCCGAAAGGCGAAAGGGCTAGAGATGGCTCATCATAATAATGAAGATAGAGCGGTAGCACCGTGAGGAAAGAGCACCCCAGTTCTCAGCGCAGGGCCCCCTGCAGCACATTGTGAAGACCATGGGACCAGCCTCCCTTAGTCTCCACCATCATTGATTTGAACACTCAAATGAGTCTTCTTGGAAGAAGTCTCTTGCAAATTGATTTCTACCCTACCCACTTCATCTTTGGAAGAGGATATAAAGAACAAAATTGTTCTGACATAGGCTGCCACTTCCTGGGGGATCCTGCTGAACCAGAAACGTGCATTTAGAGAGTCCAGAAATCAGCAAGCAAGCCCAACAGAGAGGCAGACATTGTCCAGAGAGGAAAACAGTCTGGTCACCCAGGGGGTTAGCAGGGACCGGAAAGGAATTCCGCAGATGGAGTTTATTGAAATTTGGGGCAACTCTGAATCTCAAGCAGAACTGGTCCGAAGCACCTACTCTCATGTCCAGCCAACACTAAACCCTATGATAACATGTCTAAGTGGAGAAGGAGCTACTGGAGAATTTGTGGCCGCAGTGGCTGTAGCTACAATGGCTCCTGAAGGAAACAGAGTTGCCCACCATTGGCAGGCCAAAAGGAGTCAACCTTGGTTGAGTACTCACTCACATGTAAGGCACAGTGGCTTGTCAATTTTTGTCATCTTCTTCTGTTCTTACCACATTTTAATGGGGCTAAATTTATAATCCTTGTCTGAGTGGCCAGGATATTGAAGTTCAGAAAGGTTAAGTATTTCATTCAAGATCACAGAGTGATACCAAAATATGAACCCAGGAATGCATGACTCCAAAATGTATGCTGTTTTCAACAAACCTAGTGGGTTCCCTCAAGGAGTCTCAAAGTAGTTTAGTAATTTTTTATTCAATGCAACTATGTTTAAAATAAAACTAAAAAATCTCCAGATGTTTGAAAATTAAGCAACACATTTCTAAACAACAATTAAATTAGAAAATATTTTTTAACTAAATGATAATGAAAAGAGACAGATCCAAACTTAAAAGCTGCAGCTAAAGCAGTACTCAGAGGAAAATTTATAGTACTGAAGGTACATACAAGAAAAGAAAATGAGCTGGGGGAAAAAAATCAGTGATCTAAACTTCTATTTCAAGAAGCTGAATTTAAAAATCTGAAGAGATTATAAGGAATCCTATATCTCTAATAATAAAGAGAAGAACAAAAAACAACAGAAAGAGAAGATCAAAGAAGCTAAGGGTTGGTTCTTTGAGAGAATAATAAGAGAATAATTCCTGAGTAAGACTGACCAAGAAAAATAGAGAAAGGAACAAAACTGAACTGCCAGCACCAGAAACAATACACAATTTAACTGCCTACCACATATGTAAGACACGAGGAGCATGAGGAGCCGGAGGAAAAGGAAGAGGAGGAAAAACTGTTAACAGTTTTGAAGCCATCCAGAAAAATTACATTCCAGATTCTGTTTTATTCAATTTAATATAACATGCATTTACTAAGAGAGAACATAAGGCACTTCCATTTAGTATTATAGGCCTAGAAAGGGAAGGCGCATGTAGTTTGGAGTCAGACAAAGCTGAGTTCAAATTGGCCTCTACCTTGAACTCAGTGTATGACTTTAGGTGAGTTACATAACCTCTCTTCTGTTTTTTCCTCTCACAGATGAGAGATAATAATATCAACCTCTTGGAGCTAGTAGAAGGGTTAGAGGTAAAGAACCAAGCACATGAGTAGCTTATATCCTCCAGGATATTTTCCCCAACATGCTCCATAACCATAGCATGGTAGTTTATCTGTAAAGAGGGGGGGACAATTTATCTTGAGACAAGGTCATTCATTTGGAAATGTAACGTTGTCTGAAAAGCTTAGGCATCTGTGTTTCTTTCCTTACATGTTCCAATAAGAGAGGACTGGTGTGATCATTCTTCAAAAGAAAGGATGTTACCAACATATAAACAACACAAAAGCATCACGTGAAAATGACAGAACTTAAGAGAGTATTTGAGATCTTGCTCCCCAACATATATCATCAGGGTTGAAATAAACTCTTATATATTTTTTAAAAACTGAAATAAAATTTACATTTTAATTTTACATTATAATTACTCTTTTCTTGAATGTTAAGAGATCAAAATAAAAACTACTCTGGTAACACAAGTTATTTTAAGACTTTGGGGGCGAGGGAAGTCTTCCATCTCCGGTGTTGACATGATGACAGAGGATCCCCCAGATCCCCAGCCTTCCACCAGCACATCTCCCGCGTCACACACGGCCACGTACGCTGCGAGGGCTCAAAGATCCGGAACCACCGTGCCGATGGCTCATTTGACAGAACTGCAAAATGAATGCTCAGGATTTTTCACGCACTGGAGTAACCTGATAGGCCTATGACAAGAAAGCAAAAAAGAAGATCTAGAAGCAGTGCAACACACTGCTCAATTCATCAAGGAGAGGAGCCATTTCATTAGCAATGAAAGTACACGTGGACCACTTAACATTCCCACGGGGTCCTCTCCTGCAGTGACTACCTGGAGAAAGAGCAAGTCCAGGAGCGAATGACTTAAAGTGGGGCCCAGTTTAGTTTGATTTCGCTTGTAAGGCCATAAAAATAAACACCGAAGAAGGGGTGTTTGATGCTGATATGTGGAGATGAAAACGAATATCTGGCTCTAACATGGCCTAGATATGGGCTATGAGTGTCAGCTGATGACCAAGAAACAGCAGAAGCAACAACCTGAGGAGGGACCCCTGTATTTTCTTCATAAGGTCACTGGCCACAAACACCTCTGGGTTGGGCTGGGGGCAGAGGCAGGAAGGAACAGAGGTCACCATAGGTCACCATCCCAGGTCACCGTCAAGACCCAAGGGAAAATGCCTGAAGATGGCAGAAAGGCTATTTCTTCCTCAAGAACAAATCAATTACCTGTAGTTGTCCTCACAGGTAAATGAAATGTTCCTTGTGCTTAGAATCACTTTCAGATCATTGATGAGGGAACTCGAGCATGTGTGTCTGGGAAGGAAAGAAGAAAGTGTTAGAACTGCAAGATCTCGCAAGCATTTCCCGAGTCAGTTTCTTCTAGGTAGCAGGCCTCATACAAAGAACCCTGGCATAAGGAGGTGAAGCAGAGCTCGCCTCTCAGAGTTCACAGGCCAGTGGCGGGGGCTGACGGTGCAAAGCGGGTTGATCCCTATTATGGAGGTAAAATCGAGAGGTTGTTGGGATAGGCTAAATGTAACATCAGACCCCATCTGTTTCTTGAGCCAGTCTTTCCTCAGTGCATTGTGACTGTGGATTCTTTCGTGAACCAATTCCTAAAATAACCCTGAGAATATATGGGTACAAAGTAGTGACATATACCTGTGAGCTCCTTCAAGGTCATGCATCACCCAGGCTTGCAGTGTAGGAACCTTCTCTGCTTGCAAATTATGGACTTCCACGCGTCCAAAAGTGCTAACACAGAAAGGACAGAGAACGTTGGTAACCCCTAGTCAGACTGTTCAGGTGCCCATGGCCCCCGGGAAAAGCCAGCAGCAGGCCAGGTGCCCTTGGTTAGCACCCACCCTCTGGAACGGATGTACCTTTACCCTTTCAGTGTGACTCTCAATGAATTAAGATCCTCAAAATCAGGCTCTTAATCTGTATGTTGATGTTGATTCTTTAGGTACTTGCTCTTTCAAGAGCAGGCAGTAGACCAACATAAGGACATCTCCTGGGCGCTCGTTAGAACGGCAGAACCTCAGCCCAGCAGCCCCTGCTGCACCAGAGTCTGAGGCTGGGCAATCCCTGGGTAACCCACACACCCAGGCAAGTGGGAGCCTGGCTTTGAGAGACCCCGATGCCCTGCTCTAACTCTGCTCCTAAACTCTTCCCCATTGGTCCCTGACGCCTGGCACTCCTATTGCAAGTACTTGGGTCCCTCATTCCGGGTTTTAAAATTCTGGAATGTTAGAACTTTCACCCAAAAGCCCACATACAAGGTTGAGGTCAAAGGAAGAAGACAAAAGGACAAATGCTTCTTTGTAGAATTAAATGTTAGAACAGGAGAGAAGGAAATTCAATTTGTGGCACCTAGCATGTTCCCCCCTCTCCGTCTGGCCCTGTCCAGGGAAAGGTTTCAGAAGAAAAACTCAAAAGCCAATTCATGTGGTGAAAACTGTAAGTAGAGAGGCCAGCAGAGAAGGAAGGCATTGGTGTGGCCACGGGTGTGGATTAAACGAGAGAATCATAGCCGATAGTCATTGAGCACTGTCTCTTGGTGAGGCACAGAGCTCAGCATTTTCTATACATTATCTCAGCTCATCTTCCTGTCATTGTCACCTCAGCAGGTACATATACTACACGGACTAAGAGGTTAAGTGCCCTGCCTAAAGTCACATATGGAATCCATGGTGACCTCTGGAGTCCTTGCCTTTAACTAAATTGTTTGCTGACGGTGCCTGCAAAGAGATAACAAAGGTCAAGAACACAGCACAGTTCCTGATGCTCCCGACAGGGGTTGCGGTGCTGAATCGGGACTCACATGTTCATGCAAGAGAGAGGGGCAAGGGCAGGTTCGTGGATGGTAAGGATTTAGGCAGAAGGAGGGAGGGGCAGGTTATATGAGGGAACAACATAAACAAAGGCAAGGAACGGCAGCATGGAGTGTCATGGCTGAGAAAATTCCATCAGGCCTCAAACCAGCGAGATGAGAGCTGGACACGTGCAAGGACCATTAGGACCTTTAGAGCATTATATGCAACCAAGAAAACAGACAAAAACATTCGCTGAGAAAGACAAAAATTTTACCCTTTTCTAGCCCAGATCTTTATTACTGATCTTAAATGTGAGATGTATATTTTTCTATAAGTGAACTATCAAACAGGAAGCTGAGCTAACCCTTGCAAATAGAACGCAAAGAAATAAGTACCTGTTTTTATCAAAGGTGTTACTGTGGGACCCATTGAGCACCACCTGGACCACACCACAGGCATTTTCTGCAAACTTAAAAAATAAAAAGAAAGCAAACCCACAATGCCTCAGCATGCACACTTAATCAGCACGCCCCAACAGCTGCACCCCAAACTCCTCTTAGCATTAGCTGGTTAAGGGGAAGAGCCTGTGTGGCTGTAGCGCAGCCTTGCCCGGTCTGGGCGCTGCCACCCCAAACCCCCGAGGGATTATGCTTCCCATGAGAGCTCTGGAAGCAGCTGCTCCAATCTGTGTTTGCACAACAAAGGTCACCATCTGAGCTGAGAAGCCCAGAGTTCGGATGAGTAAGAGGAACATTGCTGGAGGAGGCAGATAAAAGTGTTTTCTTGGTGCCATGAACTGCAGACACTGCGCGTTTCATTTAGGAAGAGGGATAGACGATTCTGGGGTAAGGGAAACAGGGACCCCCAAGAAGGCGACAGTGAGGACTGCACAGGCACAAAAAGAAATGGGGAAGGAATGAATGCACGAATGAATATTGTTGAACGGAGAGTTTTATTTTCTCATGCAACCAACATTCAGCAGGAGTCCGTGCTGGGCACTGGAGAAAAGAAACTGAGCAAAGCCCAGCAGGCCACATGCTTCCTCCAGGAAGCCCATCCCCTGGCCTCCTTCTCATTTCAGGCCACGCTCTCACCGGTGAGGATGAGCTTCAGGTGGGTTTGGTTGCCAGTCCTGCAAGCTCTTTGAGAGCTGAGAGCCCGGCTGTCCTGTGGGCCAGTCAGGTGTGGGGCTTTAAAGCGAATGCATGGTACAGAGTGGGCACCTCGTCCAAATCGGTGCAAGGAGGGGAGGGAGAGAGGAAGCAAGAGGTCCAAACGCTCTGTGATGGAGGTTAGGAAAGTAGAAAAAACATAACAGAGCCAGAGAGCTGGAGGATGAGTAGAATTCCCCCGGTAAGTGCTGAGGCAGCTGCGGACTGGAAGACCTAGGGTTTGGGGGGAACAGTGGTGTTTGGGGGCACCTTGCAGTGGATTCTGAAGTTGGATAGATCAGTTAGTTTACAGAGAGCCGTGCATGCTTTGCCAAGAAATCTAGCCTTTAGTCTGTGGGTGATAAAAGTCCACTGAACAATCTGCAATGGAATTGCCGGGGGTGATGAGCGGAGGCCCGAGGCCCAATGAGTGTCAGCCGCAAGGGCTAACTCCATCGAGAGTTTACAGCGCGCCATGCGCGGACCCCGCGATGCTGTGCGACCAAGAGTCTCTGTGAAGTACCAGGTTCGTTCTCCCCACGGTCACTTGGAAGTGGGAAAGTGGGCTGGGATTCAAACCCCAAGAGACAACGAGTCTATGGCAGGAAAAGGAAGGATCTAGTCTGACCAAAGAAGGCTGCCTCCACGCATCTACGAGCGAGCGTTTGGCCGATAGAGGTGCAGTCCCAGGGCAGCTCACAAGGCGGGGTGCGCCTTCGATCGCCTCCACGACCGTGTGCCTCGCTCCAAGGACTGTATGGGGAACACGAGCTGGTTCTCACCACATGTTAAACATGGCTTGACTTTAAAAGTTTTTTTAGCAACAGCGCTGCCCCTAAATGTATCATAAAGTGATAAAATACATTTCACAGGAAAAGCAAGAAACTCTTCTCAAAAAAACAAACACAAAAAACTATGCGGTGCCTCTGGTTTTTCACAGGGCACAGTAGGCACTCAACAAGTACTTGTTAAAGGTATGCATTCTTAGTTAATGGTCTTTTGGTATCTTTTTAAAAATACTGTGGTAACCCCAGGGGACAGGCACTAGTTTTATCCCCATTTGACAAATGAGGAATTGGAAGGTCAGGCAGGTGTTTAAGGAGTCTGTCCAAGTTGAAATGGCCTCTTTGCTTCCAATGCCAGGCCATCTCCCTGGTCTCTTCCAGGGTTTACCTGAATCTCCTTGAGGTGGGTTGGGCTCTCTCGCCTTACTAGGCCACTGACCTTGGATGAGTCCCTTAACCTCTGAGTCTTCATTTCCTCACCTCTAACCTTCCCTCAGCACCACCTGTGAGGACTAAGTGGGGTGGCACAGGTAAGGCACCTGGCCCAGGACTTGTCACTTAACCAACGTGAGTTTCCGCTCACCCCAACTCCTGAGTGTCTGCATTTAATTTTGGAGGATTCTAGGTGGTGGAGTTTTACTTTCTCCTTCTTTTTCTTTCCTTTACTTCTTTCTCCCTTCTTTTCTTTCCTTTTTTTGTTTCCCTAGTTCATTTGCAAGCAAAGGAGAGACTTCTAAGAAAAAGAGATAAGCACAAAGCCAGCATAGGGTGAAGTCAGAAATAGAGGGAAGGGGGCGGGGAAGATGGTGACTCTTTCCCGGCCTGGATGGAGGATCTGGAGTCAGACAATTTGGAATTCACTCCCAGACCTGCCCCTCGCTCTGACTAGCAGTAGAGTACTTACTTACCCGAAGTACTATTTTGTCATCTGTAAAATGCTGTGATCCTCATGGTCTCTACTTCAGAGGGCCCATGTGAGGCTGAAAGGTTGTAATCCCTGTGCCTGGCACACAGGTGTGGACTAGCTAGATGGTTCCAGGAATCTAAGGTCAGTCAATACCTGGACTGGAGGATTAAACCAACAGGGGATTCCTAGCCACCAAAGTGAAAACATGGGTAAGAGCAGGAACTCTTTAATTGGAGCCCATGGGCCCTCCACGCAGGCCCTAAAATTATGCATGAAAATCTTCTAGAATGTGCTCAGGAATATTTTCCTCAGGGAAGAATCCCCAACTTTTGTTCTTAAAAGGATCTGTGATCCAAAAAAGAATTCAAACTAACCACTGGCTAGATGACCTCATTCTTTGGGCGCTAACATCCTGGAGTTTCACTTTTGGAGCTTACCTGCCTGGACACCGTGTCCCAGAAAACAGAAACAGTGTTGTTGAGGCAGTCTTTCCTCCAGTGTGGACAAGACTGATAGTTCATTTCTAAAAAGAATAGTTTATAGAAAATAATTACGGTGCAAAATCAAAGATTTAATTAGGCTCCATTCTTCCCTGGCTGTTCGATCACAGAGGAGTCATTGTCCAAAGGCTTCCCTGCCAAGGCGGAGGAGGGACAATGGACGCGCCTCGACCCAATTTAACTAAGTGCCCCCTGAATCCCGTCCAAGTCCCTACCTTATGCTCCAAATCCCTGACAGGAACACAGTGACCAGCTTTGAGTCATCGTTCTGGGAAATTGCAGAGAAGCTCGTCTGACAGAGACAAGCGCCCAGCAGTGTCCTGGCGTGCTGGAAACATCGGCCACAGCCCTGGGTCCTGGGGCGGAGGGGGCCTTCTCCCGCCCGCTCCCCCCCCCCACTTCCTGCCACAGCCCCCTGCGGGCAGCTTTGCACTCCGCCCCCTCGACCCACACCCTCAGGTTCCTGCGGCCTCTGAGTCCTCCTCCACGGAGACAGGCTCAGGGGGCCGGCAGCTATGATGGATGCAAGGCGTGAGGACAGAGTTCCTCGTCACTCCTCCCAAGGCTACCTGCCTCCGCGCACAGCTGTTTCTTAGTTATTTTTGACATATAATCGACAAATAAGATTCTAAGATGCTTAATGTGTGCACTGGGATGATTTGACACACATACGTACGTTGTGAAAAGATTGCCCTATGTGGAAAACATACCCACCACCTCACATATTTGTCTGTGTGTGCGCACACGTGAGAGAACACGCAGGGTCTGCTCTCTGAGAAAATTTCAACTACCCTGCCACAGTGTTATCAGCTACAGTCTCTGCTCTGGGCACTAGCCCCTTGGACCTTACTCATCTCATAAATGAATGTCTGTGCCCTCTTACCAACCTCTCCGTATTTCCCCCAGCTCTGCTTCTGGCAAAACTTTTCTACTCTGCTTCTATAAGCTCATTTTTTAAAGATTCCACCGATAAATGACTCCATGCAGTATTTGTTTTTCTCTCATGAAGCTGACCAACCAAGCCACACCCTGCAACACATGGCCTATATTCACTTATATGGGCCACGTGTTCTTCATCCATTGCATTTGAGGGCACAGACATTTGAGGGTTAGGTCCCGCGGACAGAGAGAGGAATTAGGCAGAGCCCTGCCTTCAGAGAACACGTGATCCAGCAGGATCGAGTAGAGCAGAGAAAGATCAGTTCGGTTGGAGGTGGTGTGTAGCACCCGTAGCACAGGAAGGTTGTTGGTGAACTTGATTTGGAAGGATGAATAAGAGTCCTCAGGCCATGAGACAGAGGAAGGCGCTCCAGGCAGGGAAGGCTGCTAAGATGCAGAGGGTGAAACAGCCCCCAGGGCTCAGGCAAGTAGCACCAGGGGGAAGAGGTGAGGGAGGGAGCTGGAAGGCGAGAATCTGAAAGAGAGACCAGGCCCTGCTGAGGAATTTGGGCCTTATCCTAGAAGCAAAAGACAGCTGTTTAGGTTTTAGGTTAGAGGCAGAGCCAATCCCAGTGAGGTGGCCAGTGGGGGCCGCCCTGCAGGAAGACAGGACAGTCAGAGCAAGAGCGAGGGTGTGTTAGTGTGCTGGGCCCAGGGCGTGGGCGAGAGCAGAGGTGAGGGAGGGGGAACGCACGCGTCGTCGGTCTGAAGAACACGATTTTACATCACGCGGAGTTGTCATCAGGGCATAAGTGGCACCAGGGTGGGTACCGGAGGCCCCGTCCTCCACATGGATCTCTCAGGGCCCTGTCAGAGCCCAGGCCTGCTCCCCGCAGCACGTCCCTGGACGATCCCAAAGGGCCCGGATTCTCACCAGAGGAGCCCGCGTCTCCGCACCACGTGAGGCCGTCGGCGATGTAACCCAGCAGCGAGTCCTCCAGCGTGAACATCTCCTGCTGGATCCGTGTGTACTGATGCGCCAGCTCATTGGACTTGCTCCAAAAGAGAGACTGAGAAGGAGGACACACAACCTGTTACTGAGATCAAAATATTGAGCCAAAAACAAAACAAAAAAACAAAAAAACAAAAAAACAAACAAACAAAAAACCCAAAAACCAAATCCACATCTTCTTATGTGAAAGGCAAACACAGGAAATAGAGTAAATCACACAGCCAGGACAGGTGTTGCTCAGTTCGTTGCTGCTGTGTGTGTACGTGTGTGTTCTAGGTCACAATGTAAAATGAGCTTATTTTCCCAGGTTGCAGCAAAACGAAATCTGAAAGCCACTAATCAAAATCTTACACCAAACGTAGGATCGGGACACGTCTGGAGAAGCCATTTGGTAGTTACAAAAATTACTAGAGTTATCTACAGAACAATTGTGTCTGTGTGCTATTTGCGGGGAGAAGGGCGCCTTGTTTCTTAAAGGGCTCCATACCCTCTGCTTCCTTTCCTGAATCTCCCCTGTCCCCACAAAAAGAAAAGAGCAAGTACAGGGAGTTTTTTCAGGGTCCCTTGTAGAGGTACAAAAAGTCCAATTTCAGAGCACTCTCCAGCTCTGCCTCGGAGGCCGTGGAGGGTGCGCCGGCCGCCTGGGCCCTGGCGTCACACTGCCCGACGAGGCCCAGCATCCCTGCTTGCGAGTTGTCTGACCTGGGACAAGCAGAGCAGCGTCGCACAGCCTCCCTTTCCCCGTCTGTAGAATGGTAACGAGGATAATTGTAAGGAGCTCCTGGGCTGCTGAGGAGGTTAAATGAGACAATGCCAACAAAGTGCACGTAGTCCCATGTGTTCTTCATCCATTGCATTTGAGGCGTTTGTCTACCGAGCAGCTCTTGGGTGCCCGGCTGGTGCTTGGTGCACCCAGCAGGGGCTCCTTAGTAGCCCCGGCTCCTCACTGACAGGACCAGCGGCTGTAACGTGGCTTAAGGGCTCCACACAGACGGCTTGGGCACGCTGGGCTTTCACTTTTCATGCTGGCTCTAGAGGAGCTTCACTCCATTACAGACGTCTTCCGGTGCGGTCATTGTATGAAAACCCAGGCCTCTCTGGCCCCAAATCTTACGCCTGTTTAACTGGCCACTTTGCATATCAACACACTGCAGGAGTCGCTGGTCTCCTCAACTCGCCAGGGTCCGCTTTTCTCACCGGTGACGTGGGGATGGTGACCCCTGACCAGGGAAATGCAACGAGGTGTGGTCGCTGTTCCTGTTGTCACCAGAGGTCAGGCGCGAGTTTTGTAATTACATAAGGTCGAGTTATTCTTGTTTGGGTCGGATTGGGTTTCCTGTTCAGTTTGTTTTGCCTGATTTTTAACCAAGTGTCCTTTCCTCCCTCTGAATCGCCATCCCTCTCTCGCCTCCCATCCTCCAACATCTCAAATCCAAATCATATCCCGGTCTCCCTGTAGCCCCACAAACTCCGTCCCTGCCAACACACCTACATTCTCGTGTCCGGATTATTCTTCCCTCATCCTGGTCAAAACTGGGTCTTGTGACCTCTTCCTGCTGGCTTTCAGCCTCAGTTTTAAAAATCAAGAACTTGATCCAGTTACCTTGCTGCAGGGTATGGCTTGACGGGTCAGCTCCATCAGTGGCTGGTAGTCTTGTTCCACAGAAAGACAGGGGTCCTTGGAAAGAAACGCTTTCTGGAACACCTTCGCTATCTCTTGGCAGTCTTTATTGCTGTGAGATAAAACATGGAAAATAAAATAAAGCATGAATGATTAGATCTCAAACATACTTTTGGAGCGTAATTACCCTTCCCCCAAAAAGCTCAAGTAGGAAGCATTTGGTGAGGGCCACGCAGTTCATACTCATGACCTCAGCTAATCTGCATGACATTTTTATGGCTAAGCACCACTGTTCCTGCTCTGCAAAGTCCCTGCCCCTCATGGAGCACACTCTCTGGTTAGAGAGACAGAGAGGACACAGACAGGCAAATAAGTTAACAAAATAAGCACAGACGACTATAACTATGCAGGAAATCAGTGGGAATGGAAGACAGCAAAATACCAAAGCAACAACCACTTCAGGGAGGCTGGTAAGGAACGGCCTCCCTGAGACATATTTAAGCTGAAACTAAGTGATGAAAAAAAATGTATTGCAGACCAAGGGTGTTGTTCATGCAAAGGCCCTGAGGCCGAAAAGAACTTGCTGGTTTTGAGGAACTGAGAGGCGCACAGCAACACCACAGTGCAAAGAATCAAGCGGAGGTGGGGCGTGGTGGGAATCAAACCAGGAAAACAGCCGAGAGGCGGACCACTTACGCCTTCCGGACCGAGGGAAAAATGTCAGATTTTACTCTAATTACAGTAGGAAGCCCCTGGATAGTTCAAAGCATGCAGGGGGCCTCATCTGATTTTTGATTTTGAAAAATCACTCTGGTAAACTTTGAACGGGCCCCACAGAAGAAGCAAAATGTCTGAAACAGGAAGTTTAACTCCAAGTTCCCTCCAAACAGGCCGCTGGCAGCGGGACGGCAACAGGCCAGGAAGAGGCGATGGAGGGGTGCAGACGGTTGGGGGAGGGGTTCTTTGTGAGTTTGTGTTAGACACGTGCTCACAAGCCCTTCATTTTCTGGGGGCCAAACAGCAGGTCTCCCCTGGAGAGCTGAGTCACCACTGTCAGCACAAAGTCCAGCCTTGGGGGCAGCTTTCTAGGTGCAGCACCAGGCTATGCAGCTTGACCTGGGGGCACAAAGACAAGGCCCCTGCTGCCTGGCCCCTCGGAGCCGGTTCTCGCACCGCGGAGCCTGAGCAGCGCAGGCCATGGCGCCGGGCCCCCTGGCGCCCCGGCTCAGGCTGACTTCCCCCGTGAGCCAAGGATCAGAGAGTGAGCAAAGCGCAGGCCCTTCCACAGAAGCCCCCCTGCCCCCCTGCTCTTTTGGGGACAGGAAACAGGGCAAAGCCCTTTGGCTGATGGCAAGGATGAAGGCCCCTGAGCTAGGCTGCCGGTCTGACCTCTGGCTCTGCTGGTTACACTGCGTGTCCTTGGGAAAGTCACTCAAGCTCCCGCTGCCCGTTTCCTCATCTGTGAAGAGTCTACGTAACCCAGGTCTTCTGGGATTGAATAAAACACACGTGGAAGCCTTTCAGAGCAGGGCCCAGAAGAGAACAGGGGCTCCATTAACATCAGCATCCTGTCTCCTTCGTTTCATTTTGCGCCCCTTGCTCAGACCTTCCTGAGCTGAGCAGTCATGCCAGCCAGCAGGGGTGGGCGTGGCCCGTGCCACCATCTCATGCTAACCTGGGACTGTGGCTCATCCCCACAAGGCCCTGGGGGACCGGCACCATGTCCCCTGCCTCAGGGGGTGAGAACGCACGGCTGCTCGGGGTCAGCTCTGGGGCACAGACCCAAGCCAGAGGATGACGCCCCTGCTTGTCTCCTTGTCCGTAGGCAACGTGGGTTTCTCCTTGCTCTCAGTTTTGGATGCCACACACATTCACCTTAGTAAGAATCAGCCTAGGAAATGCCACTGCTTTGATGTAAAACAGCCATAGGACAAAAATGCCAGATCACGACCCACGACCTGGGTAGAGTGGAGTAATAATAATAGTAACACCAACAGATAGCACTTATTGAGGGTTTAATAGGTGCTTTACACACATATATCATTAAACCTTGTAACAGTTCTCTGAGCAAGTATACCATAATTTATTTGAGTTAATAAGACCAAACCTTGCAGGAATTCAAACAGCATAGAATTTTATTTCTTGCTCATATATCAATCTGGAGGTCAATATCTGGGATAGGCATGACACTCCACATGTCAGAGACCCATCTGCTCACTCCAAAATGGCTGCTCCAGTTCCAGCCATCACAACTACCTTCCAGTCCAGAGGAAAGGTTAGGGAAACGAAAAAGGAAGAGAAAGAAGAAGGAAGAGAAGGAAAAAGCAGCAGTAGCAAAAGTCATATGCCAGCTGCCTTTTAATAACAGAAACTAAAAGATGTTCTTACTATTTGCTCTTATTTCATTTGCTAAAATGTAGTCACACAGCCACAACCAGCTACAAGGAAAGATGAGAAATGCAATCTTTAATCACACTGCTAGCATCGCCCCATGCGGCAGGCTATTCAACTGCCCTGGCCTCCATTTCTTCATCTATAAAAAAGAGAGAGTAACACTTCCCTGGTGGGAGCTTTGTGAGGACTAAATGACAACACATGGCAACCGCCTGGCTCCCAGGAGGGCTCTCTTCACAGACGTCCTTCAACTTCCCCACAATCTGCACAGGACATTTCCACTGTATCCCTGCCTGCCTCTCAAAGCTATGCCGCCACCCCATTAACCACCTGGCCTTCTGCAAACATTACACATCTAAAGAAAAAAGTTATCCCATTTTGTACTCCGGTGTCAGTCCAAATTTATGGGTCACCATCATGGGACGTTAAGACAAAAAGTGTCTGGTGGTTATCTCACTTCAGGGGATCATATTTGAATTCCATTCATTTAATTCGGTGGCCTTCCCAGCAAGTCCCTGTTCCGATTCCAACTCCCTCCTCACATTCTTCTTCCTCTGTCCTTAGCCGCCTCTGCAGGACTTGAGGTTGGACAAAGTGTAGAGGAGAGACAGCTCTCAGAGATGAAAGAACAAGAGAAAATTTTCCACAACAACAAAAAATTTGGCAGAAGAGAAATTAGCTTGCACTGAATGCCTACCATATACAGACATTTTCATGAGCCTATTCTCATCAAATCTCCTGAGAGTCGATGGAGTCTCACAGAGAACTCACAAAACTCCAACGCCATTTTTATTCTTCTCTGATATATGGACCCCAGTTCAAAAACATTACCATCGGTGTTCAAAAAGCCTTAGGTGAAAAAGTTAATGAGTCCCTGTTTAGAAGGAGCAGAGGTATAGAACATTAGAGCTGAAACAGTCCTTGGAAGAGTTTATAACTCAGCTGTCTTCCCTTCCTCTGTCTTACAGATCAGAGACTCCTCCGGGCCCCACAAATAAGATAAAATGGACAAAGGCAATACCAAGTTTGGGGCAGACATTATGAAGCTACTTTCTGTCCTTAAAATCAAAAGCAAACATTTCACCCTGGATGTGCAAGTCAGCATGTCTACTGGCATCGATGGATAAGTAGGTAGATAGATGATAGTTGATAGGTGATAGATGATAGATGATAGATGATAGATGATAGATGGCAGAGAAATAAAAAGGAATTAGGATGACAGTGTACAGAGATGTCTGCAGTACTCATTCATACATGTCATCGCAGAAATGGGCCTCAGGATCACAGGCCTGGCCCTAAAAAAGGAGAGGATTTCATTTAGATATTTGCAAAAGTCCAGACGGTCCCCCTGGGCAGAGCGCGGTTCCATCACATCAAATGGCAGCCAAGCGAAAGCTGTCTGGAGTGAGTTGGCCGCGGCCTTTGGGATTCTGTGTCCAGCGGAGATGGAAGCGATCTCTCTGACTGGAGGCGCATCATGGGAGGAGTTAGGCCCATTTCTGCAAGGCCAACATATTGTTTTTCTTCAGTGGTACCTTCCTGCCAAAATTAGAGGCCTTAGTTGTGCCACTTCTATGGAGACGTGTTGCTGAGGACAGGGACTGGGGGACGGTGGCTTTTAGTTCGGGGACTAGTCTCCAGAGTTTAGCGGTGTCTGTGGCCCATCCCCAGGGGTCCCCTGGACCGGAAGGGCTGTCGAAGTCTTTCTGGTCTTGTGGTCCTCAGTTCTGGCCATGGCTGAGGACAACCTGCAGGGCTTTGGAAAAGATACAGGCCCCTGACCCTAGACCAACTCAGTTACAATGGGGACGACGGAAAGAGCGGAGCCTGCTGTTTTCCACAGCTCCCACTCCCACCCCGCCAGCCCCTGGACAGGGCTTTTCTCCTTCTTGCCTCATGGATTTGGCTATGGGAGGTACCTCATATAAATGGATTCATACAATATTTTTCTTTTTGTGCCTGGCTTATTTCACTTAGCACATTGTCCTCAGGGTTCTTCCATGTTGTGGCATGTGCCAGAATTTCCTCCTTTTTTGAAGGCTGAGTAACATTCCATTGCAGGTGTTTACTACACTGGCTTATCCGTTCATCAGTTATGGACACTTGGTTGCTTCCTCCATCCGTTCTTTGGTTCTACAAATACCTACTTACCAAGGGCCACTATGAGCCTCACAACAGGCACAGGGCTGTAAAGAGAAGTAAGAACCAGTTCTATCCTCAAAGCACTCATCTTATGGTACAGGACAAAGAGCAAAATTAATTACAGTGAGAGCGCTGGTGACTTGCCCAAGGCACTGAAAGGAGAAAACAATAAATAGCAGAAGAAAGAAAAAGGATTACACAAAACAAAACCTAAAACCTCCACTAAATGACTCAGTATCCCCTTTATGAAAATGCTTTTCCTTTGCTCAAGCCTCCAGTTGTTGTAACATGTGAAATCTCTCTACATTTGTAACCGCTGTGAGTTTCTATCTGACCACGCTCTGGCTTTGCTTCCTTGGGTGGGGTCCAGAACAATGAAAGGTGTGTAGCCAAGAAGCGGGTGGGTTTCATAGGGTGGCTCTGCCCAATGAAACACAAAGCAGCCTTTGGACAATGTGTTTACACACAGCTTGGAATAAGGTGGGGAATGGTTATTTTCTGTGGAGTGAAAAAAGTAGACTTCAACTTAACAAAAAATAGAAAAAAGAGTGCATATCACATGCGTGCCTTGGGTTC